CTATCTTTTTGTTTTAAAATTATGAAAAGAAAACTCCTATCAATGGTACTGATCCAGACAAGATGTCTAAAGAAATATTTCCAAATTTATAAACAAACTGTTAGGAAGTTTGCTTAATCTAAGGTTAACTTATCGGCTTTCGAACAATCAACCCCTGCATGGTGATTTTGTTTGTCAATGGGGAGTGTGTTGGACTTAAAAGGTTTTAACCTTTCATTGAAACTAGATTGTCTGCCCACATTTTGTGTTAACACATTATTAAGATAAAAGCCAGACTGCTTTCAGTACTTCATGATTTTACTATGTCTAACATCAAAGGGTCACATTTCATATTTACTGTAACCCTTTTAGATGCAAAGGACATTTTAGTCATCCAGAGGGGGAGGGAGTCTAAGAGTAGAATCTTCTGAGACTGATAATAGTAAGATGTACTAATTAAGACATCAATGGAATGGGGGGGGGGTTAAATTCCAAGTTTCTTTGTATGTCATGCTTGAAGTTTTCAAGGATGGATAGATCGGCTTAGATAAAAATGTCAATTTGATGTTTTGTGTGGCAACTTGAATATGGACATCTCCCTAATTGGAAACAGTTAAAGTCCTTAGTTTGTTTGTTTGTTTGTTTGTTCAAACTCATGAATACATTTAGCTAGCTACACCACCCACATGATCTGCTTAGTAATATATGTAACAACCCAATTCACTCCAATTAACCCAGTTTTCAGCACTTTCTTAAATTATGTCACCTTTCCTAATGCCGGACAAGTTAATTTGTGTGTCGCTAGATTTTGCCCATGTTTCATGTTGACATATTTAGATGCAATTTTCCCTACTCCCTACTTTAAGTACTTTAATATTGAACTGTGACGTCTCATGCTAGACAATTTTACTTATCGACTGCATGGACTCATTTCACCTATTAACACAGAAGAAACAATTTCCTCTTAAATGTTGCCTACTTTCGGTTCTTTCTAGGGGTGTGCAGGACAGAGTATTTCTGCTATCCAGCAAGATACAGGATATGCTGGATGGCTGAAAAATATCCAGCCCGATTAAGGGTATTATTCAAATAATTATATAAGGTTCAGGCATCATTTAAGGTTAAGTACTGGTAATAATTTTATTTGGTTAAAAAGTAAACAGTCTAAAACTAGTAAACCTGCATCATTGGTAGCAAACCTGCATCGTTGGTAGCAAACATGCATCATTGGTAACAAAAGCCTCGTTTACATCAGTTAAAAGTTCAAATCCCCATTTACTGTACAAACAAGCATTGAAAATACTGATCATATTTATCATATTGTTACTTCAATGATCATGATATGATAACCTTATCAAATCATTTTCTAACCTGAAAAGAAGGCCTGAACCCTATATGAATAATATCCGGCATTGGGTAGCCGGATACCAGATAATGAATTAAAATCTTAATATCCGGCCAGATACAGTATCAGTCCATTGCATCCTATGTCTTGAAATGCCAAACAAATTAACTTGTTAAATGACTGTATATTGATATTCAATATACTTAGCTAATATATGCACCCTTTTATTGTTAACCCTTTGAGCAGCAATGTGCCCAAGTGCACCCTACTTTGTTATGTTGCACTTAACTAACACCAGACATTTTACTTTGTGAAATGCCAGACAATTTTACTCCTCAAGAGCAGTGTCCTGCTCACTAATGGTTATCCAAACTATCTGCCAATGTGCCTTGATAACCCATTAAGCCGAAATGCACCCAAATGGACCCACCTTTGTTATTTTACTCTGTCAAACGCCAGACAATTTTAGTCATCAAGAAGAGAGTCCTGCGTGCTAGTGGGTTAAATGACTTAATTACATATGTTATATATAAACTTAAGCTGTTAGATTGTCCCATTGTATATTAATTTTTTACTTATCTTGACACAGGCTTGTATGTTGGATTGATACGACTACCTGTAAATATGGTTAAACTTGGCTATGTGATTCAAAGTTCATATGACAGGTATTCTGATTGTGGAAGATGTGGGCTTGCAATATTTTGACAATTGCATGGCTGTAAAGTACGAGACAATTAATATAGTACTCCATTACTCTAATTGCCAGAACACTGCATCAGAATGAGAAGTTGTCTGTTACAGTTCGGTTTAGTAAAAGTACATAGTAAAAGTACATAGTCAACTATGTAAAATGTAATTTAGTCAGTGTCAAATAAATATTTTGTCATGGATAAACTCTGTGCAAATGAGCATGTCTCTAATGTCATTTTACTTTTAATAAGAATATGTAGATGTGTTTTCTAATACACCTCCTTAGGTTTGCTGTGTTATTATAGCATCTTTTGTAGGTGTGTTATGTAACACACCTTAGTGTGTTATGAAACACACCTTACAACGTGCTGTAAACATTACAGACCTGAATGGTGTGTTATACAGCACAGCTTTAGGTGTGTTTTAAAACACGCCATGGTGTGTATGAAAGCACGCCATGGTGTGTATGAAAACACGCCATGGTGTGTACGAAAACACGCCATGGTGTGTTCAAAAACACACCTTTATACAAAACACACCTTAAGGTGTGTTAAAATCTGGACAAGCCGAAAACACACCTTAAGGTGGGTTTTAGAACACACCTTAAGGTGTGTTAAACACACCTTAAGCTGTGTTACAAAACACGCCAAAAGCTGTGTTAAACACACCTTAAGGTGTGTTTTAAAACCCACCTTAAGGTGTGTTAAAATTTGGACAAAAAGGTGTGTTAAATTAACACACCTTTTTTTAGAGTGTATATAGTATACTCACACTACATGAACTGTATAAGCTACAGAAACACATTTAATTCAAACCATGATTGTATACATGTCGTGATTTTAAGAGATATAAAGAGGATACAGTCACGTGGGATAGTCAAACGTAATAGGCTACTATGAACAAAATTTCAACTAATATAACGTTTACAAAGTATATATCTTCGTTTCATACAAATTGTTATAGTATAGTTTTGAGCCGCCGGTATAATGCATGCTTGCATATTATTAATTTAATCAATTGAAGTTAATGTGCAAATATAGTCCATGTCATTGTCATTGTCATTGTCATTGTCATGACCATGTTTTTTGTCAAGCTGTTTAAATGACAATGTTATAAATTTTTTTTAATATATTACATGCATTTAGATTTGACAAATAGAAGTCCTAGCTAGCATCAGGCCACTACTGACATAGACTGACACATACTGACACTACTGACATATCCACTACTGACATAGTCAGATACAAGAAATATCGAGAAACGTGCAGTTAAAAAAATCACAAGTAATATATGAATGCTGTTTTTAGGGTTTGTAATCCAAGTGAGTATATATACATTTTAAGACCTAATTAACCAGAAACGACTACGAAAAATGCAGCACAAGGTCCTCTGGTAGGAATTGAACCTACGGCGCTGCGATTCCAGTGCAGTGCTCTAACCAACTGAGCTACAGAGGCCAGCTGTTGAGCTGTAACCGTAAGTTCATGTATATATAGGTGATCAGTGACAACCCGCACACCCGATTACCTATATATACATGAACTTACGGTTATAGCTCAACAGCTGGCCTCTGTAGCTCAGTTGGTTATCTAGAGCGCTGCACCGGAATTGCAGGGTCGTAGGTTCAATTCCTACCAGCGGACCTTGTGCTGCATTTTTCGCAGTCGTTCCTGGTTAGTTCTTAAAATGTATATATACTCACTTGGATTACAAACCCTAAAAACAGCATTCTAGTATTACCCATAGAGTCTTATATACACTATATAGTACATCTAATTATTCTGCAATTCAAAAATTGAAGCCGTGATTGCAGACTCAGGATATTCCCATGAAATGAGAAGACTCGTATGTTTTCTATTTCTTAAACAGGGAATTTAAACATTAAGTTAAACCTATTCCAAATACATTTTCAAACTATTCAAATGATGAAAGTTATTGTTGTCTTTAAGCGGTTATTCGCGAGTGGGAAACTTCAACATGGCCGCCATCTATTCAAATGGGGGTAACCGCTGGAATATACTTGGCTTCAATTAGTACTAAAAGAGATGCGCTATCTAGTGTATATAAGATATCTATGGTATTACCAAGTGAAGTGCAGAAACCAGATCATTGAAGTCCACCTTGTCACAACCCACACACCTATACATACATGCATAAACTTACGGTTACAGCTCAACAGCTGGCCTCTGTAGTTCAGTTGGTTAGAGCGCTGCACCGGAATCGCAGGGCTGTAAGTTCAATTCCTACCAGAGGACCTTGTGCTGCATTTTTCGCAGTCGTTCCTGGTTAGGTCTTAAAATGTATGTATACTCACTTGGATTACAAACCCTAAAACAGCATTCGAATGTTACCAAGTGAAGTGCATGCAGAAACCAGATCACAAGTAATATATACCTTTCTTATACCAATCAACAGGTGGATCCTTGAAGCCATCACATAAAGTATAATCTAGGTTGATTTCTATTTGATAAAGTCCTGCTTCCATCAAGAGAAAAATCACTTCATAAACACCGTTATTGTGATCAAATACTGTCGCACTAACTGAAGATGTTCCTTTAATATGGATACGCCAAGAATCCCCACCGATATTCTTAGTATGATTACTTGATGTTTTAGATTGAATAAAAAACTTACTGAATTCTCCAGCAGGTCGAACATCCCATTTTGAAATAAAACTATTCGCTGCACAAGTTTTCAATTTTTTGTTCTTCCATAATCCAGCATATTTGATCCCCCATTTTGTGTGTCTAGCACAAGGTGCTAAATATTTCTTCCAGTCCAATTTAGCTTGATGAATACGACACCAGCTAGTTTTAAAGTCATTAGAGTAACGTTTCAAGAAAAACTTTTTGTGATTAGAATACCTTTTATTTGTATTAGTTTGTCCTCTCCACTTCTGTCTCTTTTTTATTATTTTCTTTTTATTAATGCCATCAGTACTGGAAGCATTGGAGATGTTATTTGGAATTGATCTTAAAAATATTAATTTTGATAAAGCAGGTTGAGCGTCATCCTTGAACGAACTTGCCCATGACAACAGGTACGAGTCAATGTTAGCGTAAAAGAAGAAATATAAAATAATCCATGCTGATGACAACAATACTATTAAGATCCATAGGAAAAGATTTCTTCTCATAAAATCGCGTTAGAAAAGTTTTCCCAAACATCCGGAAGCAATAATCAATCTGTTTAGAGATATTAAGATCACTGAATCATGTTTGTAGTAGGAAGATAAAGAAATTAATGACGTGATCATTTTCATTACCGAGAGATGAGTTGCTTACCCAGAATATCAGCAGAAGATTTTATCACTGGCTACTTTCGGTTGTTTTGCTATCTGAATGTTATTGCCTGCCGAAAATTTGTATTAGATTATAGGTCGAAACAGAAGGAGATAAACAAAAGGAGTCAGAACTTTATAAGTTATATTTTGGTCTTGTTTGACTGAAAGGATACGAACTTTTATTTGGAGTCTGTTTTTTCCCATATATTTTGTTCGGCTATGCCTTCAATATAACCAAATCAGTTTTATTTCCACAGTTCGAATACCAATCGATAAGTTCTAATTGTTGCATCTGAAGACAATGAACTTCGAGACCGGTTGAATGCGAAACCGTACACATAATGTACGAGCAAGAGTTTACATGAGACGAAAAAAAATATATATATAATATATATATATATATATATATATATATATATATATATATATATATATATATATATATATATATATATATATATATATATATATATATATATATATATATATATATATATATATAGGCTGTCTGACGATCGGTATACGTGAAACTTAAGTAGCAGCACATTAAATTTTTTTAAATTTTTTATTTTTAATTTTTTTCATTTTGAACGCCATATATATATATATATATATATATATATATATATATATATATATATATATATATATATATATATATATATATATATATATATATATATATATATATATATATATATAACTACAGACGGTACCGTTCGGCCTTTTGGGCCTCATCAGTGTAGTGCTGATGAGCAGGATGAAAGTAACCACTATAAATAGTTACCTTTGATGTCTCACGAATGTGGGACATCAAACCATTGCCAGAGTGCTCAAACTGCAAGCAGTGAGCATGCGCACAATGCGTAAGCAGCAATGGCTCATCCTGTAGAGTGCTCAATATGGACGTGGCTTTGAATCAAAGCTATTGTTGGTTCAAAATGCTTCAGAGTCTGCTTTACTGAAAGCAAACGACAACGAACAGTATTCGAGAAAATATAACCTTCGATTCGTGGGTATCGAAGAGAAGACGGGTGAAAATTGTGTTGATTTGATCGTGACTTTTTGCAATGAAAAATTGGGAGTGGCTGTCAATGTAAAAGATATTGATCGAGCGCACCGTATCGGAACGAAGAATGCTGGAAAGCCGAGGGCCATAATCGTGAAATTCAAGGATTATAACTCAAAAATGGCAGTTTGTAAGCAAAGAAAGGATCTTAAGGGAAATAAATTCTATATTAATGAGGACCTAACCAAAATCAATATGAAACTGTTTTATGTCGGACGTAATAATGTAAGTCAAATTAAATCTATTTGGCCCTCCGATGGAAAGCTTTTGGCCCGTGGTGAAGATGACAAAATTGTAAGAATTAGGAGTGCAAAGGACTTTGAATATTTTAATTAACTGTGTGTTATTTAGTGCAGGCCCTTAGCTATATTAGCTATATGCCTTATTTCTGAACTTTACAATACTTATTTGCATGACAGTAGGACCACTACTGCATATTTCACAATTCTGTCTTTTGTTTATGCTTACTCTATTCTATAATTTTTTATTCTACAAGGATTACTTTATTCCACAATTCTGTCCCTTGTTTTATACTTTGTTTGTTAGTTTATGTAATGTATTTCTTATAGTCTTTTTAAAGCAGCTGCAGGTGAGCAGTCCCAAATGGTTATGGTTGTTTATAGATGGGGGTTAGTTTAGAAGTATACAGAGCAGCAGTCGGCTTACCCAATTGTCACTTTTCTGTGTTTTCAATGACTAAATATGTATTTGCATCTCCATTGATCATGTTTGGATGCTTGTACTATCTAATATTGTTAGTTCTTTTCTTTTTATTATGTACAGATGTTGAATCTAACCCGGGGCCATATCAAAATATAAATTTAAAGCTTGCTCATCTCAATGTTCGTAGCTTAAATTCCGCGGTGAGTAAATTTGAGGAGATCGCTTCCATTATCTTAAATCAAAAGTATGATATTTTTGCTTTATCTGAGACGTGGTTGAATGACTCTATCCCATCTAGTTTGTTTACTATTTCGGGGTATTGTCCTCTTATTCGTTTGGATAGATCTGATGGTAGACGGGCAGGAGGGGTGGCTGTTTACGTAACGTCTGCTATCCCAATCAAACGTAGGAATGACTTAGAATCATCTGATTTTGAATTGTTATGGATAGAGTTAAAAATTGGCTCGAATAACTTGTTTTGTGGAATATGTTATAGACCACCAGGTGGTGTTTCTGATGCTAATACTTGTTTCTTACAAAATTTGCAAACTTGTCTGGATAAAATCAATACTAAACCTGACTCACTTGTAATTTTAATCGGTGATTTTAATGCTCATTATGACCCTTCGAATATGTCTGATTCAAGTGATTTTGGATGCCTTTTGTATCGATGGATGCAGTGCAATAATTTATTTCAAGTAATCAATGAACCGACACGAATTACACAAAATGGTGCTACTATTTTAGATCTTGTCATAACCAACTGCCCAGGATTTTTTGTTCAAAGTGGAACTTTGAGTCCCCCAGCCAATTGCGATCATTCTTTGATTTTTGCCAAAATGTGCATATCGTTCTCAAAGCAGAAGTGCTATAAACGCCTTATTTGGAATTTTCATAATGTTAATGAAACTGCTTTGTGTAATTCTTTATTAGCGGTAGACTGGGAAAGTCTGAAAGATGAAGATATAAATATTGCCTATGAAAAATGGTATAGTCGTTTTCGAGGTATAATTGAGTCACATATTCCTCATAAAACTGTCACAATACGTCCTCGTGATAAACCGTGGATGAATGCAAATGTTAGGCGAGAAATTCGTAAGAGAAACAGATTACTGAAAATTCATTGTAAAACGAGATCCACAGTTTCCTGGGAAAAATACAGGCGGCAAAGAAATTATACAACAACTCTCATTCGTTCAAATAAAAAAATGTACAATAAAAAGCTGAACGCCAGACTTCAAGATCCTTTAATTAGTAGTAAAAACTGGTGGGGTATCGTAAAGTCTCTTTATGGGGCAAAGATTCAAACGTCAATCCCAACCCTAGTTGATGGTGTAAAAGTTATTAGTGATGCTAAAGAAAAGGCCGAACTCTTTAATGAATATTTTTGCACTCAGTGTAATGTGGATGATAGTTGTGCTTCTCTCCCAACTAATAACGTCCGAGCTACTGTTACTCTATCACTTATCCAAACATCAGAAGAAGAGGTCAATAATCTCTTGAAAAATGTGGATGCTGGTAAAGCTTGTGGCTTTGATGGTATTGGGAACAACATATTAAAGTTATGTGCTAACGGTATATCTAATTCATTTACTAGCTTTGTTAATTTTTCTTTCTCATCTGGAAAATATCCAGACAAATGGAAACTAGCAAATGTTATCCCAATTTTTAAAAAGGATGATCGTCAGTCGAAGCTCAACTATCGTCCGATTTCTTTACTAGTCTCTTTGTCCAAAATTGTTGAAAAAATTGCATATATTCGATTATATAATTTTCTACTAGAAATTGGTTTTCTAAACCCACTGCAGTCCGGTTTTCGACCGGGTGATTCCACTGTGAATCAATTAATGTACATTGTGCATACGATTTATCACGCACTTGAACAAGGGAAAGAAGTTCGGATGGTATTTCTCGACATCAGCAAAGCTTTTGATAAAGTATGGCACAAAGGGCTTTTATACAAACTTGAAGTAATTGGTATTCAGGATCCACTGTTATGTTGGCTTAAAAGTTATTTATCAAATCGAAAACAACGAGTTGTGATTGAAGGCCAGTCTTCTAAGTGGGAAAGTATAAAAGCGGGTGTTCCCCAGGGTTCTGTCCTTGGCCCTTTGCTATTTTTGATATATATCAATGACATAACTAAAAATCTTCAGTCAGATTGTTTTTTGTATGCGGATGACACGTCAATCCTTGATATTGTTGATGTACCTAATATGTCCTCGATAAAGTTGAATAATGTCTTACTTCAATTAAGGATTGGGCATCCCAATGGTTAGTTACAATTAACCCAACTAAGACCGAATCGATTATTTTTTCAACCAAAAGGATTAAGCCATATCATCCTGATTTATTTTATGAAGGTAAAAAAATTGCTATGGTTTCACAGCATACCCACTTCGGCGTCACACTATCTAGTACTTTGTCATGGAAAGCTCATATTTTGAAAGTATATGAAAAGGCATGCCAGAGGTTAAATATGCTTAAAGGATTAAAGTATAAATTAAATAGGGAAACTTTAAACACATTAGGGAGCAGTCATTATTAATGCCAGGGGGGGGGGCGGAAGATATTTCTAAATTCATGGTAAATTTTTCATGGCCCCTCATTCCTTCAAAATATTTTTTCATGCCCCCCCCTTTAAATATAATAAATTTTCATAGCCCCCCCCCCCTCCTTCCCCTATGATTGAACTTGCATTCCAAACATATACTAAGATCACAGGCGGCCCAATCTCGCAAGCGACATCTTGGGCTACTGTGGTGCTTGATTTTCGATGGCTGGGGAGCGGGAAATGAAAACAGCAAGTCCAATATGGCGGGGAAATTTATCTTTATCTTGTATAAAAACCACATGGACGAATTCAATTGAACTAAATTTTGGCACAGGAATGAGTTTAAAAAACATAGTATGACAAAAAGGGCCTGTGGAGAATACCTGGAAACAGTTTTAAGAAATAATCTCGACGAGATGCAGCGAAACGTAACTATGTAAGTCTGTATAAATACAATTTAATAATTTAATAATTTCATATGTTATTTGAGTTTGAATCATTTGTCCATATAGTTTAAATTATGTGCCTTTATGAGTTTATGATCATTTCCCAAGGTTTTTTATGCCAAATTGTTTACAAAAGAATTAAAAACTCTTGACAAAATGAAGTTGAATTTTATTGAATTTCATCATGCTATGAATAAAATAAATAATCACTCGGGCAAGTCGTGCAATTAATTAACAGCTTGTGCAATTTTGGCGCATTTTTCCAATATTACTCGTAGTGTTAATATAATTAATTGCACTCCTTCCTGTGTGATTACCTATACTTATATTGCATTGACATTTATATTACAGTGAACTATAATTGCTGATGTTTTATGATTATTGTACATTAGTATAATTACATAGGTGATTATTGAAAATTCTCCACGCTGATTGGTTACCGTTGAGGTGATTATTACGCGATAATCACCTAAGCGATTTTCAAAATGGCGGCCGAAGCCGTTTTGTCAATTGAAAGACGAAGAAATGTGCATTTTTAAATTTTTTTTCAAATAATCACCTATGAAATTATCCTGAAACAATTATTCACCTCAGGCTCGGTGATTATCGTGAATAAAAACATCGACTTCGTCTCGGTTTTATTCACCGATAATCACCTCGCCTTTGGCGAATAATTGTTAATTATTTTTGGTGGCCCCCCCTACTTTTCTTTGATATTTTTGGTAGCCCCCCCTAACTGGTTGATAAATTTTTGGTGGCCCCCCCAAATATCTCCCCCCCCCCGGCATTAATAATGACTGCTCCCTTATATAAATCTCTTGTTCGTCCCGTGATGGAATATGCTGATGTATTGTGGGACGGTTGCATGGACGGTGAGAGCGATCTTCTCGAATTTGTCCAATATGAATCTGCTAAAATCGTAACGGGTGCCATGAAGGGCACCAGTAGAAAAAGTTTAATGAAAGAAACAGGCTGGGAAGATATGAAGCTTAGACGTTGTATACATAAATTAATTTTTTATTTTAAGATCGTTAACAATCTTGTTCCAAATTATTTAAAAGAATTATTACCTTCTCAGGTGCTCGAGCGAACTCATTATTCTGTGAGATCGCAATCTGATTTTACATTGTTTCCAGTGCGCACTGAGCGTTTTAAAAAGTCTTTCTTTCCATCTGCTACCAAACTGTGGAATGGGCTAGATACATCTGTACGTAATCTTCCGTCAATTTCTCGTTTCAAAAAAGTTTTGTTAGAACTTTTCAATCTTCAACCAAGTCCAACCCTATTTAATTATTCTCTTGATAGATATTCATCTATCATTCATACTCGAATACGTTTGGACGCTTGTGCATTAAATTATTATTTATTTAAAATTGGTAGTAAATTATCTCCTAAATGTACTTGTGGTTTTGAAATTGAAACAATTAATCATTATTTTTTATATTGTCCGATTTTTGCTGCTCAAAGATTGAAGCTGCTCACCTCTGCTGCTCGCATTTTTGCTGATAGATGGCTTGCACTGTCCAATTCACAAATAATAAAGCTTTTTTTGTTTGGATCCTCATTACTTTCTGAGGATGAAAATTTTCAAATCTTTTACCACGTCCAAAATTTTATAAAAGAAACAAAACGTTTCCATACTCAGGAGATTTAAATGTTTTTGCAGTTCATCTTTCAGTATTTCCTTGTGTGTTATTCTTCTACATAGCTACTGATTGTATTATTGTCTAATTGATTTGTGTGTGTGTGTGTGATTTGTAAGTATGTAAATGTGAAGTGAGCCCCCTAGATGAGCAACCAGTAGCTCTTGGGGCAAACTTCCTTTTTGAATTAAATATTTATTAAACAAAAAAAAAAAAAAATATGACACAAAGGCCATAGAGCAATATCTAACTACAGACGGTACCGTTTCGGCCTTTTGGGCCTCATCAGTGTAGTGCTGATGAGCAGGATGAAAGTAACCATTATAAATAGTTACCTTTATATATATATATATATATATATTAGAGTTACGTATATTGCTCAATTTGTATATACAATTACAGGGTGTATTACGTGTATAAAAAAGGTAATGCAACTTTGGCATGTTATCGTGTATTATGTTTATCCATTTACTTTTTTCATACCGATAAAAATCGGGCTTTTAGCTATCAAATTCTAATGGCCAGGTATTTAGTCAAACACGATTCGACTTAAAAATACCTGTCAAAATCGCATTTTCCACCAAGCGTTCCTCTTTTGAGTTTCTAAATCGATTGCAATTTTCCAACCTCATTCCCAGGGCCTTTTTTGAAAAGGCCCTGGGAACGAGGTTGGCAATTTTCCTCATTACGTTTGCAATTTAGAAAACTCCCTTGCAAATCCCTTGACGGAATTTGCAATGTTGCTAAAAGCTGATAAAATTTTCCTCAGTACAAGTTCCTAACTTCCTGTTCTGTTCTGTGCGTTGCAATTGACTAACAAAAATAATCCACCGATTACAACGCTCAAAACAGAACAGGAAGTCAGGAAATTAAAACAGGAAGTTAGGAAAATTTAAAATGAAGTTTTTGCATTGGAATATTGCAACAGCCGATAGGAACATTGCAAATTCCCTAAAGAGATTTCCAAAGCGTTTTTCAATTTTGCAAAGCTAAAAGAAAAATTCCAAATGAGTTAGGAAGTCAAAAGAGGAACGCTTCACGTAGTTTACCTGTAAGTTTTGATAAACATTTACTCGCAATTTTACATCGAAATTGAGTGGCTAAAACACTTTACAACATGCACTGCAAACTTGCAGACTGGATACACAGTGACATACGTTTCCCAAATGGCAAATGGGGACAAACATTTTGGCAAATGTTTGAAAATTGAAAGAATATTTAAATCCCAATGAATGGTGGGAAAATGCGTATTCAAATACAAATCAATTTTTTAAATCAGATCGCATTTGGTCATTTTTTATCGCTATGATTTCACAAAGATGAGTTTGACAGCTAGAAGCCTGATCCTTAAAATACGAAAAACCTATATTGACGTACTAGTTAACGCACGTTATAGCACGATTGGCTCTTTTTTGTTGATGTAATTTTGGAAGGAAATTTTATCATTGGTGTATATATAAAGCACCTGCACGTTATCACATGCATGCATATAATATATAGTCACACATTTGTGGGCAGTTTGCGTACGGAATATTGATCGAACACCATTTAAAACTGGATTATTGCTGCTCGTGTAAATTGAAAAGAAAAACTTTGTAACTGAAAAATCTTAATTCCACTATATGACTATGAAATATGGAATCTTGTTCAAAAATATGGATTATCTTTTTTATCTTCTTCGCTAACATTGTTTCGCACCTGTTTTCATGCTGGGAAAGTTCGCTTGAGGAACGGAGTGACATATCCAATTCTTCTAGTACACCTGGAATTAGCAAAATAGAAATAATAAAAAAGAAACACAAACCGAAAGGGAACCATAATAAAAAACAGCAAAAGTTTTCTAATAACGAGACGTGTTTCCTAAAACGTTACTCTAATGATTTTAAAACTAGCTGGTGTCGTATTCATCAAGCTAAATTGGACTGGAAGAAATATTTAGCACCTTGTGCTAGACACACAAAATGGGGGATCAAAAATGCTGGATGGAAGAACAAAAAGTTGAAAACTTGTGCGGCGAATAGTTTTATTTCAAAATGGGATATTCGACCTGCTGGAGAATTCAGTAAGTTTTTTATTCAATCTAAAACATCAAGTAATCATACTAAGAATATTGGTGGGGATTCTTGGCGTATCCATATTAAAGGAACATCTTCAGTTAGTGCTACAGTATTTGATCACAATAACGGTGTTTATGAAGTGATTTTTCTCTTGATGGAAGCAGGACTTTATCAAATAGAAATCAACCTAGATTACACTTTGTGTGATGGCTTCAAGGATCCACCTGTTGATTGGTACAAGAAAGGTAGTTTTATAATTTTATATATAACCGTCTTTATCTTATCCTCCTCCTATCACGCATTTATATAATCATATGATCCCGGTAGACCTGGAAGCTCGCCAAAGATGCCAATGCAGCCACTCTATGCTCCTACAGTATCTCGCTGGAGGAGCGCCTCCATGCAACCAGCAGGTACCCAGGACTTCTCCCTTTACAGCCATTGGACTTGGGCTATCTTTTGACATCTTGGAAATGGAAATGGGAACGGGAAATGACTATTTTGCCTATAAAGCTTCGTGCGGGGAAAAAGCATTCATATAATGCTGCATTTAAGACTGGGAGAATTAAATATTCTGTAATAATATCAACACTGTTTCCGTTGTTAAAAGCTTAAAAGTATGTTCGTCACCTACGTTCTGTCGGATTTCCTCGGTAAAAAACATCGCCACAATGTGATTGTATTGAGGCTAGTCTGCATGCGTGCAACCTCAACTCGAATTGCAGGCTATGTTGATATACCTGGTCGCTGATGCAAGGTTTGTCTATTTTCAACGCAGGGAATTTCTACATATCAGAGAAATATTGACTTGAAACAGCCAATAAATTAATTTTTATTTTATTTTTTCGAAGGGACATTAGTCCTCGAACGAGTCATGTTTGCGCGATAACTTTCCAAGTTTGTGCCTATAGGGGCGAAATCAGCGCTATCAACTTTGGTTTGACTTTGTTATTAGTCGTAACCATATATGCACATTAAAGCCGTATTTTCTGCACATTTTACGACTCGCCGCATATATACCTATAGCGAGGTCGTGTGTGGTGTATATTGTATAATTATACATATTAGGTGTTAAAATTAGATTTTAATAATTTGAATTTGATTTATGCTGGAAAAAGCGGGTACGACCTCCGTTGTGACTTGTTTATTCTGATTGAAACATTCATTGATGATTTAAATTAACCCACGATTAAAATGAAACGTTGCATGCTAATCGATGACTTGTTTGTTGATAGGCCTACAATGTCAATGACAATGACTGACAATGCGTCTCGTAATCATGAACGGAACCCAATAATAATAATAATATTGTTATCGTATTCGTTGCAAGAAAATAAACGTAAAACATTCTTGGAAATCATTTCGTTTCCAATATAACTGGCAGTGCTTGCATGACTATATCAGTTACATGTCATCTGTATAACTGCAGGGCCGGATTAACGCTCCGCGGGGCCCGTAGCATATTTTCAGCGCAGGATCCCTTAAGCCCCCCCCCCTCCCCCAACCGCCCAGCGGCATTTTAAACACTGAATTCAGTAAGATTAAAAAATATCCTTTTGTATTTCATGCGTTGACAATTTGCCTGTATATTTACAAAAAAAGAATTATACATCAATAATTTGATCGAACTGAAATTCAACCCAGTTTATACCATTAACGTTATTATTATTTACAGGGGAAAAATAGCTAAACAACATGAACAATTGTCAATATCCGAGAATACATGATGAAATGTACTTGTCATTGAAGTTTCATTCTGCAGATGCCTTGGATACGTCATGCTTATTACGCGATTTTTGAAGAGCAAAATCGTTAATTAGCATAATTATAGGCAGCCCAAAAATGTGTATAGAATGCAAACGTCAGTTTATAAACAAGCTCACCCAATTCCTCTGTCAGTTGTCGCGCGTCGCAAGCACTCAATGAAAAGCATTGTTCATATGCGGTATACGATCACATGCAGTGTTTGGAAATACAGTTTCCAGATTGCTCTCTATAATGAGCATGTATATGCGCATTTCCAACGACTCCACGTTCATTCTGATTTTGGCGTCGTCATCATCTTTCGTTATGACAGCTACGTCATCATCATCAGAGAATGTGTCGACCATAGCTTGGGCTGCAGAATTTGCAGGAACAGTTGAAGGTGTAGTCGCATCCAATGATTTCTTAGCAAATTCTGTGTTGAGAAAACCAGAAAACTGTACTAATTCGTCAGACAGACTAGCTTCTAAATCTGTGGGGTATAACTTTTGAAGGTTCTTTGCACTTTGGATCACTTGATCAACTGGAAAGTCCTTGAGTTCTCGCAGGAAGCCAAACCTTTCAGCAATGACAGTGTGTGCGCCCAGTCGTTTCCGTAACTCAGCATCAAGGCTATCGATTATGACCAGAAACATACCCGTACGGAACGTGTCCACTGGAGTCTGTGGCAATTCAGGCGCTGATCCTGGTTCGTCGTAACGGCGATTTCGTTGACGCACGCGTTTAACTTCTTCCACGAAATGGTGACATTAACAGTAATTAACAGTAATAATATTCAACAGTTTAACCACAAATATTTGAAATTTTCTGACCCCTATGATTTTTTGACCTCGCTTTTTGGAGCCCCTTGCCCAAAAACCGAACAAAAAAAGTGGTTTGCGGCCCTGCTTTTGGAGCCTCGCTTTTTAAACTTTGGTGTCTCGCGTTTTCTGGCCTCCTATTTTATTTTGGGGCTTCGCTTTTGGGGGCTTCGGACTCTTTGGGGTCCCGTGCTGTTTGGATTCCGCGCTGAAACAGGGAAAAAAACGTTTAAGGGCCCCGCTCTTTGGGGTCTCGATTTTTAAAATTTTGGGCCTGACGTTTCCTGGGGCCTGACGTTTCGGGGCCTTGCGTTTTCTGGGCGACTTGGACTCTTTGGGGCCCCGCACTGTTTGGGCACCGCGCTGAAGCAGGGAACAAAAAAATCGGGGAAAACTAGAGCGGGGCCCCCAAAACCGCGGGGCCCGCTTATTAACTATCTTAATAAGCGTGGGGCCCCAAAACCGCGGGGCCCGCGGCATATGCCGCTTCTGCCATATGGTTAATCCGGCACTGTCCGTAAGGACCATGGACACAAATTTTGAGAATAAAGATTAAATATATATATATATATATATACGCACAAATTAAAATTCAGTGCCGACCCACTACCAAGTGTTGTCATTCTCCATTAATTCCCATTCCCCGATCCCTGTTTTAAAGATAGCCATTTGACATGACCTTACACCGAACATCGACAACCATCTGGCGATCGACAATGGCGACTTGACAATTTTACACCACTTTCACTGTCTGACAAACCTTCCTGTACAACCATTTGAAACTATACCGCATATATGCGACCCTACATCCACCAGGAATTTTTTTTTGCAACCTAAAAACCGCTTATGCTACCTTTGCCATCTGACACGACCTATCAGCACAAGACAACCACCATGGGCTATCTGCCATCATCTTACACCATGCATCTGCACCATCCCCAGTCGCAACGCCTATATATATATGGCAGTATATTATTCGTTTATCATCTAATTATCTCAATTAGGCCGCTGTATTCAAGGAAAGAAACAACCTGATGGCATTCTACAAGGAGATTGTCCTTTTCTCAAGAAACCATTGGGCAATGGGAAATGTATTTCAATGAAGATTCCCGAGCCAAGATATCACAAGGAACTACTCAGTAAGTTCATGTATGTCGTAGGACATTGATTTGCTCCTTTATCAAGCGTGAATGATATGAATGGTAGTTGATATGAAGGTAAAGATGTGTCCATTTTTAGTTATTGCTGTCCCTTTTCGTGATGATGTCTCTTTAGATCTTGTATTAATGGCTCACTTCTTATCATCATAGTTCACCATATAATTTGAAATAATTCATTGTTTTACTAAATTCTGTAAACAATCGTGTGCTGGGAAATTTATCTTTTAAATCTAGTTGCAATGGTCAAGATTCGAAAGAATTTCTTTACACGCCCTCGAAAAACTCACGGAAAGCAAATAATTTGTGATTGCCCGAGTTTAATATATGATGGACTTGGAAGGTGGATAAATGGCACATGGAAACCATTTTCCCAAGGTAAGGTTAGACAAAATATTCCTGTTAGCCGTTTACTTATTGTTAGAGATGGCTGTGGAGGAGGTTCACATTCAGTTAAATTGATCAATGGGAAATAGTTAACTTATAAATGTTTGAAACACCAGCATTTTCATCCGAGTTTTACTGGAGACATGATTTTAGTCGGTTCAAAAACTGTGTCTGGTTCTGAGAGGTTCATTAATATTTAATTAATAATTGATGGAGGAGGGGGGACTTTTTTAACTTGTATGAATATTTATGTGTCGATAATTTTTTTAAATATAATCCCTTGCACAAACTATTTTTTCAACTTATAATTTTCCCTATTGAAAAAAAAAATTTTTTCAAACTTTCCTGTTGTACGAATTTTTTTCTTTCTGTTTCACCCTCACTTTTCTAATAGCCGCCCCTTAGTATATTATAATGCCATTTCGGATTTTATTTTGGTACCCGCGTCCGCTTATCAGAGGTGTTCGGGAAGGAAAGTTTTACTGAATATAGCAACATATAATAGACGTTTGGCCAGGACCTGTACATGTCCGCTAACAAAAAGTGTCCTCAAGGAGACGTTTGACTGCGGTATATAGTATATCACACTTTAATTTTGTTGGAAATTTTCTTTAGTCCTAAAGCTGGAGCGTGACCCTCATAACCACGAAGGAGTATTATGGATATACGGAGACTCCATATCGCAGCGATTTGCAGGTTTTCTGAAAAATGGTCCATACTCTGAGATATGCGAAAAGATATTCAATAAGTGCAAAACTACCTACACTTGGGTTTATAATCTTGAAAATGAATGGCTTGCACTGAAAAAGATTGATGGAAAACATTACAACCATACGAAAGTAATGCGAGAAATTAGTAAGGTAAATTGCAATTGAAGTCAGATTCAAGGCCGTCGGAAGCAAATCAATATTGGGGGGAGGGGGGGAGGGGTTGTCGGCGGCTCAAGAATGATCTGAATAAATCTGAATTACTTTTTATTCGGCTCAGATTAAAGAAGCTAGATTAAATACTCTTCATTCCAAATGAAGCGACGTGCATGCATTATATTATTAATCTTTTTTGTATATATAAATTTTGATTTGTATAAGTTATTATTGCATAAAGCTTTGCAATAATAATTAGTATAATTACATAGGTGATTATTGAAAATTCTCCACGCTGATTGGTTGTCGTTGAGGTGAATATAACGCGATAATCACCTAAGCGATTTACCGATAATCACCTCGCCTTCGGCGAATAATTGTTATGAAATATACTAGTTGTTATATAGTTTATAGTGTCAAAGTTCAATTTTTCTGTGTGCCGATTGGTCCAAACCGTATCATATGCCGGTCCACAAAGAGGGGCATATGTATAAATAAATGACTAGAAGGGGGGCTTTTAATTATTTTCAAGAAAATGAGGGGGGGGGGGAGTTGCAATTAAATTTGAAGGAATTTGCTTATTTAGTAAGACTGGTATCCATTCGGTTGTAACGAAGGTGTTGTCTTGAAGTGGTTCGGTTCTTACCTCAAAGGTAGATCACAACGAGTTGCTATGCAGTTTGAAGCAGTTTCTGATCACAACGAGTTGCTGTGCAGTTTGGAGCAGTTTCTGAGAAATTCGATCTAAGTTGGGGGGTTCCACAGGGCTCATGTCTTGGACCCTTCCTTTTACCATCTATTCTAGTGAACTTTTTAATGTCATCAAAAATCATCTTCCAAATGTTCACTGTTTTGCTGATGATAGTGAGTTATACCTCTCCTTCAATCCTAGTAAGGAGCATGGAGATGTGCAAGCTGCCAAGAGCATGGAATTGTGTGTGAACGATATTAAGAACTGAATATCCAAGGATAAACAGTTTACTGAATGAATGATGACAAGACGGAGTTCCTTATAATAGGAACGAGGCAGCAGTTAGAGAAAGTGAATCTCAACTGTATATCGATCGGCACTGTTGACATCTCGCCTTCTAATTCTCCTATTAAGAGCTTGGGCGTGTGGTTGGATAGGAATCTATCTATGGATGCTCATATTACACGAACATGCTCAACTGCCTTCTATTATTTGTATAATATTAGAAGGATTAGACCATATCTTTCTAGACAGACCACCGAGATACTTGTCCATGTGTTCATAACCTCCAGGCTTGATTATTGTAATAGCTTGTTCTATGGTGTACCATCATATCAACTCCATAAACTTCAACTGATTCAAAATGCAGCGGCCCGTCTCATTTTTAGGGAGAGTAAGTTCTGTCATATAACTCCATTTGACTACGATTGTTGCATTGGCTACCGCTTAAACAAAGAATTCAATTTAAGATACTGCTATTGACTTTTAGAGCTATTCATGGTAGCTATCCACAGTACTTTATGGATCTTATAAAATATCACCGTCAAACAACCAACTAGATACTGTCTACGATCACAAAATAGTATAACACTTATGCGCCCTAAAGGCAAATTTTTGGCAACTTTTGGAGACAGATCGCTTAGTGCAGCTGCGCCTAAAGTATGGAACAGTTTACCGGCTGAAATAAGGAACATTAGATGTATTAAAGTGTTTAAATCATCAATTAAAACTTTTCTTTTTAACCAACACTTTTTACACTAGTATTTATTAACTACTCAAGAGTTATTGAAGCCTAAATAGCGAATCTTATGTAAAATAGGTTAATTCATCTTATCATATTGTAACATCGATTGTAATGCGCAATTGAAAACAATTCAGTTGATATTTGCGTAATATAAATTAATAAATTATTATTATTATTATGTTGCAACTAAATCATGGTCACTGATGTGAAATAGTCTGGATTTATCTTGTCTTCTGTGTGCTGTATGCAAATCAGTCTTTACTAATTGCATAGATAAATTGACAATGTATTATTACATCAGCTATCTTGATGTGGTTAAATACATTTAAGCAAGGTTAATGGCAGATGTATTATGCAGGTCACATCCGCTGAGGGGAGTCTGTGATGTCATATCGATCAAAGGGGGTTGTTTCGCGCCTTGTGATCAAGTGCTTCGGTCTGGGTATATTCATTCTGCCATATTGTATGCTTTGCCTAGCTGTAACAAGTTTAGCGCTTCGATACCTTTTCCCCACCCACCCACTCATGTTTAGTCTAGAAGATTTTATCTGGTAGTATGTCATTTTGTTTTATATAATTTTTAATCTCAAATAAAATAGGATGTGTAGACCACTATACATTGTATTTCGTTTCCACTGACTTGTCAGTGTGACTGGTGCTGGAGGTATGCCTTGGCAAAATTGCCATGGCTATCTCATTTTGCTGATAATATTACTGATTGTTGCTCTCATGCATGATCATCATTTGTTGCCTGCTATGGCAATACTTCGTGCCATCATAGACAATCCAGAAGACATGGCACAAGCACACATGGCACAAGCGTCACGCAAGCACATCACGGATGGCACCACGGTGATGGCACGCGCAAGCACGCGCAAAACATTAGGCGTTTCCAGTCCCTGTCTTCTGGATTGTCTATGGTGCCATCAAGTCTAGTTGCAACCTTGGACCACAAACAGCTCCTGCCTCCAAACACTAATACTCTGCCGTTAAACATGATTTTAGTGTTATATATAAAAATACTCCTCTTTTAATTATAATTTTCTACTAATATATATTTTTGGTCGGCGTTAATATCTTGTCAGTTCCATATTCTTATTTAATAATTAACACTTAAACTCCTTGGGTATCCCCATTTGACGAGTAAAAATGAAAATGGGGGGGGGGGGGATCAAAGAAAAATATTCTAATATGCAGGGGGGTCATCTTTAAATTTCTGCTCTTTTAAGGGAGGGGCTTTCAATTTTAAAAATTTAGGAAAGAAAAAATTCCCCTCCCCCTTCCATAAATAATGACCGGTCCCTTATATATACTATATAACAAACCACTTATTTACTGAGACCTCGGGAAAGCAGTGTGTTTTGTAGCCCCTCGACCGCCGTTGTTGCCCTCGGCGAAGGCTTCGCCTCGGGCAGCAACGGCGGTCTCGGGTTCACAAAACACACTGTTTCCCTCGGTCTCAGTAAATAAGTGATAAGTGGTGTTTCCACAAACCAAAACTTATTATATTCGCTTATTTCGCCATGCGAAACTACAAAGAATTATTTAATCTTTTTTGATTGATAATTATATTGTTTCTGCCAAACACTCTTCTGCCAAACATGTTTATGGCACCATGCCTTTTCTAACTATCTTAATTATTCTGGCTGTATATACACCAAAAAGGATTTTAATTGGTCTAGTTTCGATTCTATTCGGTCGTAAGTCAAAAATTATCCTACCTCTCACCATGCAAATGTTAACGTTTTGTAGGTGTTGGAGGAGAAAAGATTGGATAAACACAGTGTCATTATGCTCAATTGGGGCATTCACTTTGTTTACGCTGTGAACTTTACCAATTACAAGAAACTCATCGACGATTTCCTCAAGACAGTCGAACTGAAAAGAAGTAAAGGTCAATTTAAGAGTAAAATTATTTGGAGGACAACCACGGCCATTTTCAAAGAACGCAATTCTCGGCTCCATAAAGATTCTGAACGTTTTCTAACATTTCCAAGAATTGTTTTATACAATGCGTATGCAATGTCAGCCATGTGTAGAGCTGGTGTTGATGTTATTGATGTGTATCCAATGACTGACTCATTCCCACCTGGAACCATATCTAAGAATGATGCACTACATTATGGTAGGCGTGCAATGGAAAGTGTTGAAAAATTACTTTACAACAAATTTAAACCTTGACTAATCTATTGCCTTCAAAATCAAAATACTGTGGTGCTCAGTTTTCTTATGTTACGAGTCCATATTCAGAGAATTTTATTTGGCCGCTTTTGGTACTGCGTTAGTTTGTAAAGCATTTGCTAAGATAATCTTTTGCTAAGATTTCAACAGGGTCGATTACTAACTAATCGCCCGGTCGAGCGGGCGATTAGTTCTAATCGCCCGATGGCAAGGGTCACACCACAGAGTAGGGACATACAGAGACGTAACTGACCGTTGTAAACACTGCGGAAGCTTACGTTTTCATGTACCCACTTTTTTTCAGACTTCCGGGCAAAAAATGATCAACTGCGCGTGCTCAGCAAGTTTAAATTGAGTCGTCAACAGGTCGTCATCCAATCAGATGCATGCATCTAGTAACTTGCCGAGCATGCGCACAAAAAAGTGGGTACACTAGTTACGTCTCTGTATGTCTCTACTCTGTGGCACAGATGATAGATAATACCACATGTATCACTCTATACCTATCCCTATGATTTTCGTGTCCGCGATTTTCGCGAGGCTATCGCGCCAGATGACGCGTGCGACACTTACTGCCAAAATGGCGCTTACTGCCAAAATGCGCGATTGCTCACGTTTCATGGCGTGGACAGGGCCGTAGCGAGGGGGGGTATTGGGGGGGGGGGGTTAATCCCCCAAACTTTTTAAGAATTAACATATTCGGAAAATCAGGTTGGCCATTCGGAAAATTACGGGAATAATAGTATAATAAAATTTTAGTTGTTAAATAGAGAAAATGTAATATAATTGTATTGTCAGTGTAAACTGATTTACGAAATCATGGCATTTACATGGATAACATTTAACAAATCGTCGGCTGATTACTTCTCAGGGCCGTAGCAGCGGGCGGGGGGATCGGGGTGATGCAATCCATTCTCGTACTCAGAGC